CCCCCCCCCCCCCCCCCCCTGGAGGTCACGTGGCCCCCCTTTGAGGAGGAGGGGGGAGTAGCAGGCAGGATCACGAGGTGAAGAACCTCCTCCTCAAGAGCTGCCCTCAAATTCGGTGTTACAGGGAGTTGTAAACGGCTTTCATTTTATTAGATTCTTAGAGAACAGAGCTGGAAAAGCCAAAGACCTGCAAGCACTGCTAAAGCAGAAAACGCCGTGGAAGTGGGAAAGCGCTCAGTTTTGCTTTCCGGAAATTGAAAAATCTACCGTAAAGTACCAATCTAGCGCCTACTCAAAATTTGCAGATAATCGAAAGAAAATAGGGGATGGGCGCTTGTTAGGTCACAACTTTATCAAGATTTGTACTGCGCATATTTTTTCAGATGTTATAACATTTAGGGATGGGCGCTTAGTCTAGAATGGGCGGATGCTCGGTATACACTGCGGTATCTGTATATTTGTACAGCCCAAACTTACTCTGCCTCAACGGGCGACTTGTCTCTCAGCTGTAGAGGAGTAATTTAGCCAGTGCGGTAGAACCGCTAGCCTGGGGGCCCTAAACTCGTCAAACACAAAGTTGGAGCAGAAAGTTTGCGGAGCACGCCGATTGGACAACAGCGAAAAAAGCGCGAAGTCATCGTCGTGATAGGCCAATCGGTGCGCTCCGTCAACTTCGGCCCCAACTTCGTGTTTGACAAGTTTAGAGGCCCTGGGGTCTTTAACGTGCACCACGCTGTAGTGATACACGACCGCACGCCGGTGCGATGCTCATCCAGATCGTAAAGGGCAGGGATGGAGCCCAGGATCCCTGGGTTCTACAGTGAGAGTTTTCACTCCACGTGCTCCGAGCTGGTGTGCGCTAGCCCACTCGGCCACCGATCCCCCAAGAGGAACACTGTGCTGGTGTACTACGATGCTGAGAAGCCCGTTCTGCTTTCATGCGATGCTTCCCCACATGGCGTGGGTGCTGTGTTGGCTCAGGTATACATATTGTCACGAATGGCAAATAATGAGGCGAGGAATAACTGAAGAAACTATAAGACCGTTTGCGGCTCACCCTCCCATTGCAAGTAACCGCAAAATTGATTACAATGTTCCAAACAAGAAATGATGCAAAACAAGGCTCATTTCGATCAGGCCACGTCCACGAAGACCGATTCGTCTTGAGAGGTGGAAGTCTTGCTATCGTGACAACCTCCAGGAAAGACATCTCGATGCTCCAGGAGTTTGCTTCCATCGAGGCGGTATTTATCAGCTTCGGCGAGGGTAGAGGGGCTTTTCTTTTTGGCTAGTCTGGTATTGTGACCAAATCGTCGGTGCCTTGATGATAAGCTCTCTGAAAAGCTACTCATGTTGAAGCGTAACTACAGGTTTTCCCGCTCATTTTAATCCAAGCAACGACCTATTTAATCCCGGGGTCACTCAATTTAATCCAAGAGCCATACAATTTAATCCAAGCGCCACACAATTTAATCCCGGCGTCAGTCAATTTAATCCACGATATATGCAATTATTTTGCTCAGTGGTCGTGTTTCGCTTACACATTTGGTAACTTAGAACAATTGTTTATAAAATTAGAATTTTGGGGGGATTGATAATTTGATCACTAATGTGATTACTTTGAGTTACTAGTCCCACTATGGACGCTTAATTGATATGTTGGTTATTCTTTTTAGAGCGCAGCTTTTAGGCACCCGTTTCCGGCTTGATCGAGCGGCGTCGCCGTCACCGTCGGCATAACCACACGGTGCATGATGGGAAAATTCCCCCGCTAATTTAACAGAAAAATTTCCCCGCTAAATCTAGCAGAAATTTTTACCCGCCCAATCTTGCGGAATTTTTTTCCCGCTAAATTTGGCGGAAGATTTTCCCCGCTAAATCTAACAGAAAATTTTCCCCGCTATATTTAGCGGAAAATTTTCCCCGCTAAATCTAGCGGAAAATTTGCCCCGCCAAATCTAATGGAAAGATATCCCCCTCTAAATTTAGCGGAAAATTTTCTCCGCTGTATTTAGCGGAAATATTTCCTCGCTAAATCTAGCGGAAAATTTTTCCCGCTATATTTAGCGGGAAGTTTTCCCCGCTAAATCTAGCGGAAAATTTTCCCAGCTAGATTTAGCGCAAAATTTTCTCCGCTAAATTTAGCGGGGAAACTTTTTCTGCTAGATTTAGCGGAAAACATTTTCCGCTAAATAATGCGGGAAAATTTTCTGCTAGATTTAGCAGGAAAAATTTTCCGCTAAATTTAGTGGGGAAAATTTTCCGCTAAATAATGCAGGAAAATTTTCCGCTAGATTCAGCAGGAAAAATTTTCCGCTAAATTTAGTGGGGAAAATTTTCCGTAGACAGTGGGGCAAATTTTCCGCTAAATCTAGCTGGGAAGATTTTCCGCTAGATTTAGCGGGGGAAATTTTCCGCTAAATATAGCGGGGACAATTTTCCGCTAGATTTAGCGGGGACAATTTTCCGCTAGATTTAGCGGGGAAAACTTTCCGCTAAATTTTGCGGGGAAAATTTTTCGCTAGATTTAGCGGGGAAAGTTTTCCGCTAGACAGCGGGGCAAATTTTCCGCTAAATCTAGCAGGGGAGATTTTCCGCTGGAGTTAGCGGAGGAAATTTTCCGCTTAATGTAGCGGGAAAATTTTCCGCTAGATTTAGCGGTTAAAATTTTTCTCTAGATTTTGCGGGGAAAATTTTGCGCTAGATTTAGCGGGGAAAGTTTTCCGCTAGACCTATAGCGGCCAATTTTTCGCTAAATCTAGTTAGTAAAATTTTCCGCTAAATTTAGCGGGGAAAAATTTTCGCTAGATTTAGCGGGTAAATTTTTCCGATAAATTTAGTGGGGGAATTTACCCATCATGCACCGCGTGGTAACGGCGACGGCGACGCCGACGCCGCTCAAGCCGGAAAGGGGTGCCTTAAAGCTGTGCTCTAAAAAGAGTAACCATCATATCAATTAGGCCTCGTCAATAGTAGGACTAGTAACTCAGAGTAATCACATTAGTGATCAAATTATCAATTGCCTGCCAAAAATTCTAATTGTATAAACAATTGTTCTAAGTTACCAGATGTGTAAGCGAAACACGACCACTGAACACAATAAGTGCATATATATAGTGTAGATTGAATTGACTGACCCCGGGATTAAATTGTGTGGCGCCTGGATTAAATTGTATGGCGCTTGGATTAAATTGAGTGACCCCGGGATTAAATTGGTCGTCGCTTGGATTAAAATGAGCGGGAAAACCTGTAGTTCACCTTCGAAGTTGACACATTCGTTTCCTGATCAAATAAACATGTGCATTGCTTGAGAATTTGAATCTTCCTCTTCCGTGCAATATTTGATACTTGAGATACACTTCGTTCGAAATTCACTGCATCATGTGTGTTCGTGGAGAATGACCTCGTTAGGGGAAAAAAGGAAATTCAGTACACACCTGCATCTGTATTCCACGATAGTTTTTCCCCGATTTTGTAAAAGAATTTTGGGCAGACCACGTTACAAAAGACAATCATCTCAGTATCTGTATTTTGGCCTTCAGATATATGTATATAACTATTTTGGGATACCTTTTTAAACTCTTTGCTCAGCCCTGATGTGTACATTTAAGGCTCAGCTGGACTTTGGGGGGGAAAGGGAGAGGGGGGGCGCTGAAGACCCTGGCTATGCCACTGATTACAAGGTCCGTTTATTGCTGTAATGTGGCACAGCTTTGAATTGAAAAGCTTATTGAAAATACTAGCGGTGGTGGAAAATGCCTACTCGGGGCACCATTAAGCAGCAAAATTTGGAGTTTGTCAATATCTTCGAGTAAAATTCCAGTGTCGATGTCATGTTTGCGCCGAGTACAGACAAACGGTCCACATGCACATGCCAGAGAAAAAACATTGTCCAACAAGATGTGTACATGGCTGCTGCTGCAGATGGAAAACCGCTGGGCAAGTGAGACCATATTGTACGATGAAGCACCTGCTCCATATTGACAGCACAGCACTTCAACTCATTTCCAGACACAGAACTGCCTGAACTGAACCAGTGAAACTGCAAGTTCCAGTACCCTCCTCCAATACTGATGCACAAGCCTATTTCCTCAAACGCCTCAGAGAACCTACCGTATTTACTCGAATGTAACGCGACCACGATTGTAACGCAAAAAACGACTTTTCACAGCACAAAAAAAAAAAAAAAAAAAGAACTCGAATGTAACGAGAGTTAAGTGAGGGGATAAAAGTACCTTAAAAAGTACTACAACGCGGTCCGCGGAAGCCTTTTCGGCAGGGTTCACACTTGAAGAGCACTTCACGCTGGAGCCTCCACCCACGGAAAGTCGATTCTGTCACATCTACTTGTCGAGCCGCGGCAGAGTTTCAGATTTCCTCAGCCATCATAATTGCACTTCTTTTAAAGCGGGCGTCGTACTGAGCTCGTTGCGTCGCCATTTGCTCGAGTCCAGTCGCGGATGCACGTAGCAGAAGCTCACAAAACACGGACAACACGGGCACATGGGTACAGTAACCCTAACAGAAAGAGAAAGCGTTGTGAAGGTAACCCGTAACCCTAACATGGGCGCAACGAGTCGCAAACAAGAATAGGATTGGATTGGCTGTTTCCAGCGTGTATATGTTGCCAGCACAAGATTGAAAGATCGCGAGATTTGCCGTAGCCATTTTAAAGAGCCTGTGCTGCGACATCGCCAAGGCAAATTTTGAGGCGTTTCGATTATAACGCGAACCCCCAAATTAGGTAAGGGAAATTTGAAAAAAAAAAACTCTCGTTACATTTGAGTAAATACGGTAAATGTAGGAGCACTTTGAAGAAGCCCATTGATTTCAGGAGCTCTGCAAACAGATCTGTACCTTCTAAACTCTAAAATTAAATTGTTTCAAGTTCAGATTGATACACAAGCAGCACGACAACACACAAAAAAAGCGCATTAAAATTGGGAACAACTAGAGGCAAGTAAATGCTGTTAAGAGAACCACGCCACCACTAGGAGGTATACTGGATGCACTTCAAAATTTTATTCCTTTTTTTAATTTTTAATATCAAACGTTATGTACAGCATAAACATCATACAATAATATAGACAACACAGCAAGTTCCTCGTAATATATATATATATATATATAACCTACACAATAAACTTACTCCTTCCAAGAGGGCAACAATAAATCCCAGATTATTTGCATTCTAAAAAAAAAAATTCAGTCTTTTCGCTCCTTTTTCTACTACAAATGCACGCGGGCCCGACCAAGATAGAAGTTTCAAGAAAACCAATTGCCAGAAAGCAGAAATACTGCACCGTGCTCGCTTGCCCCATATCGCGACTACAGAAAAGAACGAAAGCAAACACCTCGCGTTTAAGGAATGAATAGGTCTAGGAAGAGTACGCTTAATTTGCTCCTCGTGGACAATAGAAGAAAAAAAGTTTCTGCTGTCTCATAAGAAAAGATCCCAATAGTCCGGAAGAAAACGGAAAGGAATGCAACCAACAATGACGATAACTCAACAGGAAGGCTCAATGACGAGGCTATATACTCCGAAACAAAAAAAGGGAGAAAGAAAAACAACTGGCGCATTCCGACAAATTTCCCCCGACGCCCACTACAAAAACGCGTAGCTCGACGAAAAGGATGTGTATGACCTAGGCCCAGCCTCCTCAAAGTCGTTCCCGTTATGATCGCTATGCCCCCCCCCGACCCTCCGGGGTCGCCTTCTAACTGCCGCCGACGCCACCCACAAGTTAATCTGAAACGTGCCGTTTCGGCAGTTCCAAAATTGCCAGTGTAAAACGCTACCCAACGATGCAAACTAAAAAAAAAAAAAGAAAAAAGGGGCTTGGAGGGGGGCCAAAGACACTTTGTTCCCAGTTAAAACTATTACACGCAAACACGGGAAGAGAAACAAAAGCAGACGCATCTGTTTCCCCCCGCCGTGCAGACGCCGCCCCCCCTTCTCCCCCCCCAGGACGAGAAACCTTCTGCCGGAAAAATGAAGTTCCCACGAAACCCGTTCCCTCGCATCGCATCAGACGCACCAACCGGAAAAGAGCGGGCAGGAACGCACACACACACACATTTCTTTCACGCACAGCCGCACAAGCACGCACGTCCCAACCGCAGACAGAAAAGACGCCCCGTTCCAAGTGCGCGGAGGAAAGAAGAGCGCAGAAGCCAACCTCTGACAGACAACGAAAGAATGCCAAGCTGCGTGTGTTGCCTCCTCCGGCGGGCATGTGTTGCGTGTTGGTGTGGTGCGACTCCCCCGCAATATATACCTATACACCCAGTCTGTATACATATATATATACTGCGTATGTACAGATCGAGCAGAAGAGACGACGGCCGGGAGGAGAGCACCGCCATCGTCGTCGTCGTCGCAGCTTCGTGGGAAGTGCCGTGCTTCTTCCGAAACAAGGGGAGGGGTTTTTGAGGGGAGGGGGTGGGGCTTCCGAGAGAGGGGGAGGGGCATCACTTGCAGCAGCCTCCGGATTGGTGCTGTTGCTCGCTCAGGTCCACCCCCCGACGGCCCTGGCCGCTGGCGCCGCCCCCGACGGCCGTCGTGCCCTGTTCCGTCTTCGGAAGCTTCTTGGCTGCAACCGGAGCAAAAACCAGAGTTCACAAGACTGCAACACTGGCTAGAGGGGCACGTCAATGTAAATTACGCTCTCGAATGAAACACGAAAGCAAAGGTACACTTGCGTTATGCATGTTCGTTCAAAGGAATGCTGAACACCAGACTTGGATAAGACACCCATGTCACCAAATGAACAAGCTTTCACCACAAACGCTCGCTGTCTGCCTTCTTGCAAAGGTGACGTGCGATGCAAGCCAACACGAACCCGGATATATTGAATTGAAAGAGGGTCGCGCAATAGTCTCGCATTAAAAAGGCACCTACGGTTGGGCTGTAAGCAACGAAGCCACCGCCACGCCTCTCACAAAGACAGCATCAGTTTATAGCAGACCATCGAATTGCATGGGATCATGGGAAGGTAACAGTCACGTGTTGCGGCTGATCCAATTGAAGCGAGGAGAAAGATAACTTTTGAGAAGGAAAGGGCATGGGCGAGGAGAAATTTCTCTCGCCCGTTTCAGACAATGGCTTGCGCTACCTTTCAGTATAGAGGGAGGGACCTTAGAGTGACCGGAGAGCCAGCACCATGCTGCGGCCTGCCGACCTCTCCACGAAACACATCCACGCTTGGATGTTTCGTGAACTTTCTAGTTTCGATAATGATTGGGCATATCACGCACCTCGCATGTGCATGCGCAGCCAAAGCACTCCAGAAGGCATCGATTACGTGGTGGAGGCTGGGCTTCACCACGTGTTCGCAATAAAATGTGCATCTAAAGATTTTTTTTTTTGCTGATGTGCAATGTGGGGGTGGAAGGGGGTTCGACTTGCAATCGAGCTGACTTACAATCGTGTAAATACGGTAAGCATATATTTGTTTTGCTGTCCTCATTTTTGCAGAACGGCTTCTGACGGCCTAATTCATTTGAATGAAGGTGATGCCGCGTTAAACTCGCCTTTTTTTTCTAACGACTGCGAGCTTGGACTTTCCTTTCAAGAACCGCTTTGTACTGCTTCGCGCTTGGAGTAATCGATAACCGAACCATTATTTCAAAAGCGTCCCTGAACAAGAAGTGAACCGGAACAAAATGCAAAGAAACCTGAACCGGAATAATGACTGGTTCAACTTCCTGCTTGTTTTAACCCAGCCGATCTTCTAGTGTTTGTGTGGAACACAATATAAAGAAAAATAGATTGAATGTACAGCAAACGTAAAATGACTGCATCTCCACGTGGTGAATGATGCTGATGGGGCGAAGCTCTGGTGGTGCTGATGATACCGATTTTATCGTTCATAGGTAGTGCTGATGGTGCTGATTTTTTTTATTGCTCATAGGTAGTGCCGAGTTCCGGGTTGCGTTTCGACTTCATTATTACTGCTTTATGGTCCGTGAAATGCACAGCTAGTGTTTCTTTCAGCGGATCACCTTGGATTCGCTAGAAGCCGTGGGAACGCATCTCCACCGCTTAAGTCAACAGTCCAAGTCAGTAAGAGAATGTGTGGTATGGATCGTGGTTATATACGCAGTTGAGCATTTGGCCGCAGCGCTCTTTCGTCTATAAATGTTGAGCCAATGCATGCAAAGTTTAACATGATTATATATGCATTTGACTGCAGCGCCCTCCCCTGTATAGATGTTGAGCAGCTAAATGCAACGTTTCATCCATGACATCCCCAGCTCTTGAGTTACTGCAGTCGTGGCCGAGTGGTTAAGCCGATGGACTAGAAATCCATTGGGGTCTTCCCGCACAGATTCGAATCCTGTCAACTGCGGAAACATTTTTTTCTTTTTTTTTAAGAAGACAGATGGGATGGCAATCGATGTGAGCATGGACGTTAAACAAGGCTAGACCTTAAGGAGCTTCGCCACTAAAAGTTTGTTCTAAGGCAGGTTCCATAATATGGTGGTACAGTCCCTTGTGCTGGTGCCATATACAGATTGCACTTTGTCAGTGGTTTTCTGTTATTGCTACAGTGCATGGAGATTGGGGCAGATATATGTGGCGTCTCTTCTTACAGCGTAATAGCGGTGCTGTAAGAAGTATTCTAAGCAGAGAGCAAGATAGCTTCTTGTGCCATTCACGAACTAGACATTTTTAAGGCCTTATCAAACAAACACACTAACCATCTATCAGTGGAGGGTACATATGGTCCAATTGCGGAAAAAACTGGTGGTTTTAATTTCTAGCGTCTGCTGGGACCTGCAAGCCTTTTACGATTGATCGCGCGATCGAGGTCTGCAGTGACAAAATTCCCATGAAGCGCTTTGTGTAAGCACCCTTCGGCTGAGCAGAACAGGTGCCTTAAGTATGCTTTTGCATACTTTTGCAGTCATCTCCGCTTTTGATAATGTTAGCATCTTTATGCTGCTTTTTTTCAGTAACACTATGTGGCTGTCAATGGCCATCTCTTCACCTTTAGGAATTAGAAGAATGGAATGGTGAAGTTCAGTCAATCCAGGAATGGGAATGGGTGTCTTCATTCCGAAGAGTTCAAAGGAACGGAATTGTCGGAAACCAATTTCCCGGAGTGGAATTGGAATGGAATGGGGATGCTCATTTTGCAACACTGGAACCAGTACCACCTAAAAGAGAAGGCCTTGCCCCCCCGAACGCCATCACCAGTGGATCCACTAAGCGTCGCCAAGCTTGTGTGAGCATCGCGGCCAGCATGTTTTGCAGCGTCTAACAATGAGCAAGACGCTAGCAAGGCAGACAGGTGCGTCTGCCACTGTGCGGTGACACTTGTCGAACATCGGTGCGTTTGCTGCTTGAAATGATTCTGAGGTCTGAGGTGGTATTGCCAGAACCGGCCACAATCGCGAGAAATGCTGTGCCACTTCCTAACACTCTCAATGTCTGATACAGAGACCAAATTGAGTAGTATGTTACTAAAAGCGACAATCAAAAGTTCCAAAAATTCGGGCAAGCCTACCGCAACGGTCCGGCTGTGCGGCTGGGACTTAACCATTACGTTTTCGGTATTATGAAATGAAATTAGGATTCGGTGCAGAGTTGGTGCAAGTTTATCACATTTTGGGGAAATGGGGCAGGATGTAGCGGGGTAAGCACTCTGGCACAGTTCGGCACCACTAGTGCAGCAATCGCATCACTGCGACCTAGAAATCTGAGGCGTCAAAAACGTGTGGGACAGTCAACATCTCACCGCAGTTGTCGTAGACTTTGACATCCTTACCCAAACAAGTACAGGCAAGTCGGCTGGGGATGCCAAATTTGTAAGTGCGTAGAAGAACTTCAAAACGAAGGTGTTTACGGAACTCTCCCATACACCAAAGCATGGTCAAATGACACAGTTTGTGCGAGACCGGCACTTCCCAATCAATCTTCCATGACTTCCAAACTGACCTCTTTGGGGTTAGTACTTCACCAAGGCAGGCCAAGAGACACTTATAAAGCCTGTTGTAGAGTGGGCAAGTTAACCTGCTCTCCGGGAATGTCCACCTGTCTTTGATTATGCACAGTACGAAGCAGCGGTGAATCAAGCATGGCCTCAACTCAAAACCAGTCGAGTCAGCATTATCCATCTTCCGGCTTGGAAGGCAGGCAAACGTGGAAATTAAAATTATGAAAATAAACAAAGGTAATCGATGTTAAAGTGCTACAAGCAGTACTCAAAAGCTTTGGCTCCTCTTTATTCAAAAGTCTGAGCCCAACAACCATCAAAAAAAGGGTCAATAAATAACACACCCACCCTACTAGAATCCAATAGACTTTCCAACCAAGAATGGTTGGAATTAAGATCACCCAGAACTTAAAAACGTCCATGTGATTCGTGCAGACGGACAAAAAAAAAGGAAAAAAAGGAGGCAGTTGAGGGGAATGCAAATTGCCTTAGTGGAGAAACTAAAACACGCACTACTTCACACCACATACTCCCGCCACTGCAACCCCCTGAAGGATTTGAGCAAAGGCCGCACTTCCTAAAACCAGACGACTCAAACCATGCGGGGGGATGGGCAAGTGGTCGCAAAACACAAAGAAATAAAATTACGTTGTCCATGCAATGAAGCAACAGTTTGAGGGCACGATACTGAAATTGTGAGCCATCGCTAGGCTACATTAGAAAAATGGTACAAACAAGTAAAAAGTAAACATTGTTAAACATTTATCTTGGGATGTGGAGCACTTATCTAGGTGTTTATAACGGTTAGGTGGGATTTAAAAAAATTATTTTGACTGTCTGCCAAATATAATTTAAAGTACCCATGTTCAGTGTAATCGGGCTCGAAGGTGTGCACTGCAGAACGAAGTCATTGAACAACAATTTTCTCGCAAGGCGAAGCACGAAGACTGGACATTTTTAGTCCGCATACATCCTCCGTGCCCAAAACCACCAACTACAAACGCACCCGCCGCATGTTTTCCTTTCCTCCTAGTTTTTCCCCTGGGTGCACCGAAGCATGAGCGCCTAACCCATGTTTCGGGGCTTCAGGAAACCCACACGAGACATGCATGAAATGAGATCTTTGTCTTTTTCTAGCAACCTGCCTTATAACCTCTCAAAGGTGTCTGCCCTTGACCCACCCTGGAGAACTGCTGCGACAAGCATAACACCACGGCAGGGTTTTTCCCTACAGTGGGTGGCAGCGGTTTGCTGCCCACCAGACTGGCTGAGCGCCCATTTCTAGTATGTCCAGTTCACCACTATACTTTGCCTATACAGTCTCCGACAGACTTTTTTTACGCCGATAATTCAAACTTGTTCGATATTTCGGACCTAAAGGAGGAACCGTGACTTGCCCGACAGAAATAGTGCATATTCACGACCGATGTTTCGGACAGCTTGAAGCCCAAACTTTCAATATTTCGGACAAAATCGTCGCAAGCAATCAGCGAGAAACACTACCGCGCATCAGCCAGTTTGAATTCTATGTTGGCTGCACATGGATTAGCTTGGTTTGGCAGGCCTAATTGAGTACTGCTAAGTACCGCTAGGTGATGCTGTACGGGATTATTTTTCTAGCTGCGCGTCATTATCATCATCATTGTTGTTACCATAATGCTTTGTTAATTCGCCATTGCAGTCGTAGACTTGCGACTCATCTCAACCTCGTTTCGGTGAATTGTGTTTTTGGACTATGCGGGCTTGGACGTCATTGTCCATCCGTTCTTCAGTCGCCGCGATCTGTTGCTAAGGCACAAAGTACTTGACCATACCACTAGAGAAAAAGGCAGCGGTTCTCAAGTTAGTAGAAAGTTGCCGAACGCAAACGGAGGCGTAACCTGAAGCAAGGTACTATTTATGGCTTTCTTAAGCCCGCTTAGACGCAATAAAGGCAGGTTTTTTAATCTGCCGATTTTTAGGACTGCTCTATTATTTGGACGTTTTTTCCCGTCTTTGTGAAGTCCGAAAAATCTGTCGCCGACTGTACTGGAAAACAATTCCAATCTTGAAAATACTCAACTCTCCAGACTGTTGCGTTGGGCAGACTTCTGTGCCACTATGCGACGGAGCTAATCCCTGCGAACAAAGTCACTGCTGTGCGGCAGAGGAAGTGCAGAGGACAAAAAATTGCAGCAATTGCCCCCTCCTCCTCTCAGACACCGTGGAAGTTGTTAAATTGTCATACCCTAAAATACCAAGCAAGCGTTTACCCAAAATTTCAAGATAATCGCGAAAAGTAGGGGATGGGCACATGCGAGGTCATCAATTTTACATATACAGTCGCCGACCGATTTTTCGGACACGCTCGATTATTCCGACGTTTCCACCGAACCGTCACACATGCCACAGAGTTAATGTAAAAACATTGACAGAAATTTCAAACGTTGTAAAGCTTATTGCTCAATATTTCTGACTTAATTTGCGCGATTTCCTCAGTTGACAGCAACAAAACAGCCGCCGCGATAGCGCCTCAAGCTTTGTAGCCGCCATTTCGGCTGTTTTGATTTTGCCCTGTAGCCTCGATACCACATCCTACGCAATAAATAAGCTAAATTGAGGCAATAGTCGGGTTTTCCAGTTCCGCTATAGCCAACATGGCCACCGTCTGCCCATTCTTATGGTTCTTCGAGTTGTTCTCATGGTACGTGTTTTTCTGGTGTGACCGCAAGAAGAGCAACCTTTTGCCGTTCTTGCGGTCTTTAAGCGCAAAGGATTTTGCCAATAGGATTAGTATTGAAGCAAGCTTGGTGGACTAAACATAGTCTCCAAATAGCGCCAAGTGGCGCGTACTTCAACTTCACTGTTTGTGCCAACGAAGGCGCCGAGAAGGCGCAGCACCAGATCAAACATAAGAACAAACAAGCGAAAGCGAACAACATAAGGAGGAAGTTGCACGAGAACCTAAACTTGATATCAAGCAAGTGGAAAGTGGTCAATACACAGCGGAAAATGCGCGGAAATCCGATAATTTGGCTGAAATCTGTTTTTCGGAACACACGATTTTCCGAAAAATTTTTTTCAGATGTTTCAAATTTTGGGGGTAGGCACTTAGTGCGAAATGGGCGGATGCACGGTATTCTACGGTATGTCGACATCTAAAAAAATTTCTGGCATTCCAATTCTTCCGACATAATAGGACCCTTGGCTCTAGGCACCGATGGCGTTTCCCATCGTTCACCTATGCATTCAGTGACTTTCTCCAAACCCAAGTCCAATTGTTAGGTTCTCTGACCGATTCGACTGGTTGACTCTTATAGTCGGCAGCGACATTAGGACGGTTCCCTCAGCGCTTCAATTTCTCCCTAGGAAACTCCTTCCTGTAGCGCGACAAAAAGATTTCAGGCCAGGCAATCTAAGGAGGCGCGACAACGCTGACATTGGGGGCGGCAAAATACTCGTTCGTACATGCACTCATAGCCGCAACTCACCAATGGCCAGGAAGATGTCGTTGACGTTCATTGCAGTCTTCGCAGATGTTTCCATGAAAAGCAGTCCGTTTTCTTCAGAGTATGCCTGCGCTTCCTGCAACGGGAACACAAAGTGGTGAGATGAGGCAAGAAGGGTCTGTGCGAGCAGCACACAAGGTAGCACGTGCTGTCTCGTGAACTGGTGTCCGGCTCCTACCAACTACAGTTATGGCGGCGTCACGCATGCATGGAACGCTTAGCGAGATCGGTCTATCATGTTACTCCCATACTCCCTCACCGAGTGAATGCGGCTGCAGAAGGAAAACGGGAGAACAAGCGATTGCCAGTCCAAGTCAGTTCTGTCGTGCACGTCGAAGATTCAACTGTTATATTCCTGGCCAGCATGTAGCGCCACATGGTCCCCTGGTGGCCTAGTGTAACGATGACTGGAAGTGCAGCGCTCCATATTAAACAGGGGGCCACCCGGCTCCCTCAGTTCGTGTTGTGTTGGAACCGAACTGCGTCTGTCATGCTTCCACGTCTTGCCACCGACGAACGTTGGCCGGTGCGAACCGGGTTCGGTTTACACTTGTAACAGTGGCGACGAGGGAAAAGTTTTGTTCTTCGTACGAAGTGCGTCACGTTCCTTGCGAATGATAAGTTTGCGAATCATTCTGCTCGGGCTAGTTCTGCTCGTCATGCCAACCTTCGGCAGAATTGAACCTTTTGAAGGGGGAGGAGAGGACTGGCCGTCCTACGTCGAGCGTCTAGAGGCTTTCTTTGCGGCCAACAATGTCGTCGCGGCAAAGAGGCAAGCCATCTTCTTCAGTTGCTGTGGTGCGAAGACGTACGCTCTTCTTCAAGACCTGGTCAAGTTTGCCAAGCCTCAAGATAAGTCTCTGAATGAGGTTCTTTCCGTCCTCGGCAACCATTACTGCCCGAAGCCTTCCGCCGTCGTCCAGCGTTTTTGTTTCAACTCGCGTGCTCGCGCTGACGGGGAGTCTGTGAGCAACTACGTCGCAGCGTTGAAAAACTTGTCCGAGCACTGCAGCTTCGGAGCCGAGCTTGAAAACATGCCGAGGGATCGTGTCGTCTGCGGGATTAACAGCACTGCGATCCAGACCAGACTTTTGGAACGGCCAGACTTGACGTTCGAGGACGCTGTGCAGACCGCTGTGGCCATGGAAGCGGCGAAGAGGGACGCCGGGGAGATTTGCCAGACCAGCTCCGGCAGCGCCGCGTTCGCAACGCATCGAGTCACGGCACCTACGGGGGGCGTCACCTGCTACCGTTGCGGAGACTGACCCCTCGCGTCCGGCTGCAAGCATGTTAAAACTACGTGCAACTACTGCCGAAAGCGAGGACATCTATCGAAAGTGTGCAATTCGAAGCAGAGGGACGCCCAGTCATCCAGGAAAAGTTCTGCCAGGCAACGCTTTCTGGGGGCAAGCGTGCCCGTCCCCAGCACCGGAGACGCATCCAGTGAATGTCGTCCATGACAACGCTGAGGACGACAGCGCATCGTCCGAGGTTTTCGACATGTGGCAAGTTGACAGCGTCGCGCCGTCACCGCCGTTCACCGTCACCGTCTACGTGTGTGGCAAGCCACTCTGCATGGTGGTGGACACGGGCGCAAGTGTCTCTGTCATCGCCAAGAAACGTCTGCAGGCGCTGGTGCCTGCGATACGAGTCATGCCATCCGGCGTGCTGCTGCGAAGCTATTCCGGTGAACTGACCCAAGTTGAAGGCAGGGTGGACGTCAGCGTGCAGTTCTACGACAAGAAGGCCGTGCTGCCATTGTTCGTCACCGGAGGTAAGTCGCCTACACTACTTGGGCGCAACTGGATTCGGGAGCTGGGCCTCAACTTCTCTGGTGTGGAGGTAACTGTTCATTCTCTCTCTGACGTAAGAAGTCTTGTTCAAGAGTTTTCTGCTGTGTTCGAGGAACGGCTGGGTACTTTCAAGGGGCTCAAAGCCAGTATTCATGTTCCGGAAAACGCTCCACCGAAGTTTTTTAAGCCACGTCCACTACCTTTCGCACTCAAAGATGGAGTTGCACAGGAGCTTCAACGTCTAGAAAGGGAGGGCATTATTGTACTAGTCAACACGTCAGCCTGGGCTGCACCCATTGTTCCTGTTGCCAAGAAGGATGGACGTGTCAGGATTTGTGGAGATTTCAAGGTAACCATGAATCCGGTGGCCACCCTGGAAAAGTACCCGATTCCCAGAATCGAAGACCTGTGGGCCATGCTGTCTGGGGGTAAGAAGTTCACCAAGTTGGATCTGAGGGATGCTTACCAGCAAGTGATTCTTGGGCAGGACTCGAGGAAGTATGTCACCATTTCCACACATATGGGGTTGTTCCAGTACACCTGCCTTCCTTTCGGAGTGTCGTCCGCTCCAGCTATCTTTCAATGGGAGATGGAAAACTTGTTCCGAGGGCTGCCGCACGTCACTGTGTATTTTGATGACATCCTGGTCACCGGCGTGACTGACTCGGATCATCTGCACAACCTTCGTTCCGTTCTCAAGCGCCTTTTTGATGTCGGACTGAAGTTGAAGTTCGACAAGTGTCATTTTTTTGTGCCGCAGGTTGAATAGCTTGGGCACATTATCAACCAGGAAGGGTTGTCTCCAGGCCTGGGCAAAGTAGCGGCCATACTTCATGCTCCTGCTCCTCACGACGTCAAGCAGCTTCAGAGCTTCCTAGGTTTGATTAATTTCTACAGACGTTTCCTTCCTAACCTGTCTGAATGCCTGCGGCCACTACACTTGCTTCTTACTGACGGGAAGAAGGGGGAGTGGGGAAAAGACCAAGAAGAGGCTTTTACCGCAAGCAAGCACTTGATGACGTCCGCTCCGGTTCTAGCTCATTTCAATCCAGAGAAGCCGGTGTGTCTAACTTGTGATGCATCACCATATGGGATCGGTGCAGTTCTGGCGCACCGTGAAGCCGATGGCCAAGAGCGACCCATTGCTTTTGCATCAAGGAGTTTGTCCTGAGCAGAACAAAACTACAGTCAACTTGACAAAGAGGCATTAGGCTTGGTCTACGGGGTGGAACGGTTCCACCAGTACTTGTGGGGGACCCCTTTTCAAGCTTTCACAGACCACAAGCTGCTGCTGGGATTGCTGAGTGCTGACAAGCCAGTTCCTGTCCACGCGTCACCTCGGCTTGTCAGGTGGGCTCTCAAGCTTCCAGCGTACAAGTATCAGCTGACCTACAAACCAGGAAGGAATTTAGGTCATGCTGACGCACTCAGTAGACTTCCATTACCTGGGAGCAACGTTGAAGAGAACGTTGCCGGCTGACGTCTTCATGCTACAGCATGCATATCCAAATCTTCTTTCACCCTCCGTTGTGGCTCAAGCCACAAAGAATGAACCTGTTCTGGGACATGTCGTTCTCGCTGTTCTCAGAGGAGAGAACCTTGCACTAGCGTCAGAAACGAGCCCTTTTTGTGCAAGGAGTTCAGAGCTTAGCCTGCATGAGGGTTGTTTGCTCTGGGGAGCACGCATGGTGATCCCAAAAGTGCTGCAGGCTCGAGTCCTGGATCTGCTTCATTCCAGCCACCCAGGCATCGAGAAGAGCAAAATGATAGCCAGAAGTCACGTCTGGTGGCCGGGTATCGATAACGACATAACCCACCATGTGAAGAGCTGCTCGATTTGCCAAGCTCATCAGCGGGCTCCACAACCAGTTCAACAGACGCCCTGGCCGTTCCCCCAGAAGCCTTGGTCCAGGCTTCACATTGATTTTGGAGGGCCATTTATGGGGCATACTTTTTTGGTCATTGTGGATGCTTTTTCAAAATGGGTCGAGTGTTTCCTGTCTCGTCAACTTCTGCAGAGGCTACCATAACAGCCCTGCGAATGGCCTTCCCTCAGCACGGTCTACCAGATCTGATTGTGCCAGACAATGGGCCTGCATTTGCAAGTGAGCAGTACTTGGACTTTCTAACATGCGATATCCTGTCGCATGCACGAGCATGCAACGGGATACGCCGCATCCTCGTGCCGCCATATCATTCAGCGTCAAACGGGGCAGCGGAGCGTGTTGTTCAAACCGTGAAGAACAAACTCAAGAAAAGTGGCTCTGGGGATTTTCAGACTCGGATTTCCAGATTCCTGTTTCATTACAGGACTACTCCGCATGAGGTCACGGGCAGAGCACCATGCAAGTTGTTGGCGGGAAGGATGTTCAAGACGCCGTTGGATGTCCTGCGTCCCAGCCTCCAATCATCAGTGCTGCTCAAGCAGCTAAAACAGAAACTTTATACTGATAAAGGCTGCCGACAGGGAGCGCCGCTCAACCTTGAAGAGAACGTGTTCGCCAGGAACTTCCACCAGGGTATGCCCCGGGTGCCTGCTCGAGTCGTCGGCGCCACAAGTCAGTCTTCAGCGCAAGTCCGCCTTGAAGATGGCACACTGTGGCATCGGCACGGTGATCACCTGCGTTCCAGACCGACCGACGCCACTACAGCAGCTAAGGCCGAGGCAGAGACTTGTCAACCTGTTGGTGCTGCAGCGCAGTTGGAACCGCAAGCATTAAATAAGAGTCAGTCTGCTGGTGCTCCCGGCGCTCTGTTCGAGCCAGGCGAAACAAGCGTGGGTGCAAGCGACAAAGCCGCAAGCCCTGAAGTAACTCCTCATCCTACAAGCATCAGTCCACCCCAGCTGCGCCGTAGCACAAGGACTAGGAGGGCCGTGCAGCGGTACTCCCCTTAGCTGTAGCTTGTCTTTGTACCTTAGAGGGGAGGACTGTTATATTCCTGGCCAGCATGTAGCGCCACATGGTCCCCTGGTGGCCTAGTGTAACGATGACTGGAAGTGCGGCGCTCTATATTAAAGGGGGACGCGGGCTTTGAAAACCGGAAAATCGCGAAAAAGTTGATTTTTAGAAAACCTTATTTTTCGGTTCTATATCTCATAAACTACCTTCTCTGTAATTATCAGCACCAAATACAACGGGGAAATATTTGAAAACAATTATTTAGGAGGCCTGAATAGCATCCAAGTGACGGTCAAACGTCAAAATCAACCCAGACTTCGCGCGCTCGCCATTTTCGACGCGTTGGGCCGACGGCCGCCATCTTAGTCTTGTTTTGAACGTGAATTCTTTCTCTTTTTTTTTGCCAGCTCCCAAAATGACGTCGGCCGCGTGGTTACGGCGTGGTCGCCGTTCTTCCATGTCGCAATCGCAAGAACGCGATTGGACAGAGCGCGCGCTCGAGGAGCGTGCGGGGGAGCGCGCGACTGCTATTGGCTGGGACGCGATTTCTCCGCGTGCGGAGCGCTCTCCTCCTCCGTTTCTCCTGCTGTTGCCGCTTGCGTCGTCTGCTTTTGGTAGTGGTCTGCTTGCACGCACTCTTGCTTTGTCAGCTCCACTTCGTTTTTCGCCATCTTTACGATCGTTTTCCGAACTTTCTTTAAGTAGTTTCGTGTAGCGTGCCCGTCTGTTTCGTGGTCGCACACGATGCGGGGTTCGAAGTACAAGACGGTGCACGCGTTTGGCGCACGGAAGCGGTCCATGAAGTTAGTGCGGAAGGCGAAGTTGGAAGTTTCTGCACGGCGTGCCGTCAATGATGATCGCGTCAACACTTCCAGTGATGGATTTTCTGTGCCATCGGCTGTCGTCGAGGAAGAACGCATCGCCCCGCTCACGCCTGGAGTACCGAGCATGCCGACCGTTGTGGTTCCTCCCGAGATCGCGGGTCCCAGCGCCCGTCTTCCGCCTGCCGCGACAAGTAGGAGCGCGTCTTCTAGCACCCATCTGCGGACGCATTTCCTGACACGTGAGGAGACCGAAGCAGAAGCTAGACATTGTGATATTGCTCAAGCCGAACTTGGAGCTATGCCAGCAAACTGCACTGCATGAAGCGGTGTTGAGGTTCAACGCCGGCTGCTACAAGGCAACTGCAGAAATATCGGTTGCAGTGGGACTTCAGCCGACCCATCTAGCCCTCCAACGAGCTGCCGAGAAAGATGCCCTACGTCTGCATAAGGCCAGCAAACGACATCAAGAGAATTTGGAAAGGCGGAACAAGAAGAAAGTGTGCAAGAACACTTCTGACTATTCTGCAGGGTCATTCTAAAGCTGAAAATCTGCGTGCAACTTTCAAGTGCTGTTTTCTCAGAATGGATTTTTTCACTGTCGTGGCTGCTCGTCCCAGCGATATCTCAGGAACTGATGAATGGATTTTTGTGCTGTCTTTTTTATTCTGTTCTCTAATAACTTTGTGAGGGCATAACAGAGCCCTTTTTTTAGAAAACTGTACTAAAAATTTATAATAAAAAAATGAAATTTGGTGAATGTGGGTTTCATTGACTACACAAAATTCAAAGTTGCGTTAAAATTTTTCAACAAAGAAATTTAAAAAAAGGGCTCTGTTATGCCCTGGGGAATGTATCCAGGGGTCATCATAACAAATTTTACGCCGCTACTACCTTTTTCTAATTCTCCAGACGTGGGATAAGGAATGCATATGGACGATTTTGATAAATATTTGTAACTTGAGAAATAATATGCACAGCTCCATGAAACTTTGCAGTTACTCTTATGTCTGTGCTATAAACACATTCTGTAAATTTCGTTCAGATATCTCTAGAAATAAGAAATTTCACATTTATTCCCCACCTCCTCCCTTAAACAGGGGGCCACCCGGCTCCCTCAGTTAGTGTTGTGTTGGAACGGAACTGCGTCTGTCATGCTTCCGCTTCTTGCCGCCGACGAACGTTGGCCGGTGCGAAGCGGGTTCGGTTTACACTTGTAACATCAACGAAGCAAAAAGAAATGATTTGGTGGGACACGCGCAAAACGAGCAAAATAAGAGCAGCAAATTTAAAGATAGATTTAATGCCCAGCGGGGCTAATATCCGTCAAATTTAACCATTTCCGGGCTTTCAAACAGCCGAGAGAGGGAGACAACACCCACAAGCACCCTGCATCGGAAGGAGATACCGACCAAGGCAAGTCGGAGAAATGCTTTTACAGACCACCAGAGCAGGCTGCCCTCAGTGGCAAAGCCAGGATATGTCTACCAAATCACCTCCCTCGGATTTCCCAACTTTTCGCCGAATATTCTGATTAAATTTTCCGACCATTTAAAGGAAAAAAATGCAGAGGATGGACTTGTAGCAGCTGTTCAGGCTGTTCCCGTTTGATCTAGTGAATTGAGTGGTGACTAACGCCCCCTCGTGATGCCTCGGGCAACTGTTACTTGGCGCGAAGGCCGTCCCACGCAAACCACACACCACACCCTCCCACTTCGTTGGGTGTCACTGCACGTCCAAATCCCACATTTTCCCTGATAATTCTAGGTTTCCCAGGTTGGCAGACAGCTGCATTCTTGATCGAAACGTGACAGGACGCTGCAGCGTCTATTAACAAGCCCTTGCTTCAGCACAGCCAACAGGGCTGCCTTCAACATGGCCACGAGTGACCAGTTAGTAGGGTCGACTTCCATCCCTTCCCTGTGTTACTGCAGGCTTCTGCCGGACAACCAGCAGGAACACAAAGCCTACGCCTCTGCACATAGATTTATCCGCCCGCAACGATGCAGAGAAGAGCACAGCAGTGTACGTCAAGTGTGGCTGAAGCAGGATGTAAACCAAGCAAGCCTGAGGTCGACAACGAGCTAAGAGTTCGGGGAAAGCAGCTCTTCCACTCTAGAAGAGTGAATGCCGGATAAGAGGCAACCTCCTCTCCAGCATTCACTGTGCTGAAGTGGAAAGAGGTGGGAGGAGCTTTCCTCAAACTCCTGTTACCAACCATAGTGAAAGCACCAATGCACACACCAGGGAGTGCCCATGGTTATGCACCGACAAATGGTTTGCATCTTCTAAAACAGTGCCTAAACCCAAACAACACTACTCGGGGCATGGACAGCCGATGGAATTTAGGAGCTTGGTGGAACAATCCAGTTTTAGAGCCCATCCTTCTCAGAAGCTCTTTAAGTGTCCCAGGCAGACCCATGGAACACTCTCCCAATCAGAACCAGTAATCTTTCGCAGAAGCTGCCAAGCGCCCCTTGGCAGACCCGTGAAATTCTTTCCTGATCAGAAAGAGTTTCTTGGCAAAAGCCAGCCCATCCCCTCAGCAGACGCCAGTGCACGCCTGGCAGGGCCCAGGCCGTCCCAGGGCAGACCCACCCACCTCCAGCTCGACGGCCCTCTTGGAGGCCAGGTCGGCCTTGTTCCCCGCCAGGGCGATGACGATGCTGGGGCTGGCCTGGCGCTGCAGCTCTTTGACCCAGGTCTTTGCCCGGCCAAACGTGTCCTGGTTGGTGATGTCGTACACCACAATGGCTGCCTGGGCGCCCCGGTAGTACATGGGCGCCAGGCTGTGGTAGCGCTCCTGGCCCGCCGTGTCCCAGATCTCAAACTTGACCGTCGTCTCATCCAGGCACACCGTCTGCGTCAGGAAGGCAGCTGGAAAGGGACAGAGGATCTCAGTTATCCGTCGTCGTGTTCACTCTCGTCTTGCTGAAATTTAGAAATAAATGTGGCACATAAGGATGAGGACAAGTAAGAGGAAACAATGCAACTGACCACTGACGTTTAGAAGAGAAGGAGGAGAAAAAAAAAAGGAGGAGAGAAGAGCTCCAAAAAATGTTTCAATAATGAAAATACAGTGATGTCTCGTTAATATTGACACTTTCGTTCCCCAAAAAATTGTCCATGTGATTTGTCCATAATAACGAGACAAAAATGCATGTATTTTCCCAGTTTGTCCCCGAAAATGGTGTCCATATGTACCATATTAACGGGGTCCATATAAACGAGACAAGATTGTAGAACAAATAAAAGAAAAATATTACTTTAAAAGAAGTTTCAACGTAAACTTTACATCTGAAAGGATTGGTCACCATACTCGTGAACAACTTCCTGTGGCTATGCACTCAAAGCAATGAAGGTGCGTGCATGAAAGCTGATTAAAGTTGGGCATGTGCACTCCTCTCACCAAAAACTCTACAGAAAGTTTGCCATGAATCCCAACGTACATATCACCATTTTTATTGTTTTGGTAACAATAATGGCAGATGAGAACACTGAGACACTGAGACTAGGAGACAGTTGGGACCAAGAAACCATGCTTGTTAGTGAAACCGTTCCGTGAAAGCCAACTTTGGGGATTTTACCTGCTACACCAACAAAGGGCATCTGGCATACCCCAGCGGAGTTAGGATTGATTTCAACCATGTGGGGATCTTAGGAATCCGTAGGCCGGTGCTTTGAGCAACCGAGGCAGCACGTAAAGAAAAACATTGTCTATGCACATTATCCTTTTCTTGCCCGCAGTATCTGGGTTTTTGTAGGCATTACCATCTGTGTGCAATGGCTGAATTATCCGAAGTGGTCTGCACATTGTTCTCCCGCCAGGACATCCAAATGCTCGGCCTTCTCAAATGCTGGCCTATGCCGAGTTCACCTTGCAAGTTCCCAAGCGATAATGGCAGCATTTTCCAGTCGAGCTTCGCCAGCCCAGAGATACCGGCTCCAGCCCTGTCGATAACATCGAGATAGCGGCACTACTGTATAGGTCAGAGTCCTCTGGAGCACCTTCTGGGGCACAAGCACAAGCTTTGTTCTCATTCACCCCACTGCAAATGCTGTGCTAAGGATTGTGTTATAGACCGTTCAGACAGAAGACAATGCTGCCTTCACTTTCCCAATCTTACGAGACCACTCGTCAAAATTCAGTGAGCAGTACAGTTTGACTATGCCTTTGACAGTGTCAGAGTACTGCGAAAACTATGCTAGCCTTGACAACCAAAAGCAAAAAAGCCGATGCCGAGCCCCGTTTCCACTTTTGATATCTTTTGAATTGTTATAAGCCAAGCAGCCCAAACAAAAGTTGTAATGTACCTATGTACCTCCAGTTGTCAACTTAGAAACTAAAACCATAGCTTGAACTTTCATGGACCACTTTGAGACTTCTCAATGAGTTTAGGCAGCCACTTCAGAGCAGCAAATATCCTGGGATCTTTTTAAAGGGACACTGACAGGGTATTTACGCTCGCCAAGGTTTTTATTTGTACGTGACATTTGAAAGCCTCACTACCCAGAACACAATTTGCGGTTCGAAATTCTTTCCGTCTAAAAGAACTGGCCGGTTTGAGTCGCACTCATTCTCTTTGAGGTCACGTGCCATTTTCTATGGTTTAGACACCAAATATAATCAGTCGTGGGTCATGGAAATATGATACCCATGTTCTTGTGGTTTCAAAAAAAAAAAAAAAAAAACTGCAAATACGTTGACTGAAAAAAAAAAAAAAAATTGTTGAGCCCTTTCACTTCACGTAAAGGTGGAGGACCAGCGATGCTGTTATCTTTACGACGTCTAGGATAATGCCTTGAGGACAACCTCAAGGACAACTTCTAGGACGACCTAGAGGATGATGCCTAGAGGACAACCTCTCAGACTTCGAGGAAGACCTCAAGGACGACTTCAAGGACAACGCCAAGGACAACCCCCCAAGGACGACCTTAAGGACGACCTCGACGACAACGCCTAGGACGACCTCGACGACAACCTCCGGGACGACCTCGAGGACGATGCCTAGAGATGATAACAACGGATCAGGATCTCACTATCTATAGACCGTTTTACTGAAAGAGGGCGAGAAAGAAAAGGGGAAAGGGCTACCGGCGCTTTCCCCCTTTCTGATTGTGTAGAAAGAGTGAATGTCCCGGATGAGAGGCTTGGCCGGTGTTGGGTGTCTGCTGTGCCCCAACTTCGTTCGCGCTTTCTTTTCTGTTTTGAACTCGCAAACTTAATTAGAGTAACGGGCTTCGATGGCAACAGTTCCCCGGTCATCGGGACACCATTGCTCGGTCATAGGGTGCACGAATAACGACAGAAAGCGTTGAATACTGTCCGAGGACCTTTGTAGCTTGCAATGAATCCGGCAAGGCGAGAGCGGCTGCAATGTCTTTAAGCTCCATCGCTTTCCACATGACCCCGGTCTTCGCGGCAGTGGATTGCGTTCGTAAACCGAAAAGACATTTCCTCAACACCATCTTCTCGACTGTGCTCGGAACAGCTTGTGAATGGAGCGCGCACCGAACGCTGTACCGCCGATGAACATGGGGTACGCTCGCAAGGTGCGTGCCAGTTTTCTTGTGATAATTGCTGTTTCAGCTTGTAAAATTTTGTAACTGAACTTATTTTCATATTGATAATTTGCAGTGGTGACTGACTCGATTTCATCATTTACAACACTTAGTTGAAGGCTTATTTCCGCCGCCGCATGAGGCTAAAAATTGTTGAAAAGGTAGTTCTATCGGTTTTCCTGAATAGCGATCCCCTGTGCGATACCAGAGAGCCGGCAAAAGCGCTAGTGGGTTGTTTGGGTTGTTTCCCTTGATTGGACGCTTTGAAGCGCTGGATAGTTGCTCCAGGGTACGACTCGTGTGTTGCGATCTGCGTCTTCGAGCCCAGTGTGTACGTTTCTTTGTTCGAGTCATGGCATCCGCCAGTGCGGCAACGGGGAGAACAGCGGCAGCGAACGTGTCAGTGATAGAAATTGGAGGTTAGTACTCAAAATATTGCATCAAATAGTAAAATAATTCGTGGCTGCTTTGACGCTTTCTGCGGTTAGATATAAGCACATCTAGAACGTCTTTGTCGTTCATCCACAATGAAATATAAGAGCACGGACACGCAAGATAAAAGCAGCGCAGCAAAACGATCTGTAGCAGCTCCGGGTGTTTACAAAAGTTAATTGAGGTTCCCGTATCGTGTATCGCTAGTTCATTGCTAAAAACGGCTGCGTTGAAAGGGGCCTATTGCAAGCAAAAATTTATGAACGGTTCATCATTTCCAGTCACGCGTAAAGTGGCGGAGCTTCGAAACATTGCAGCCGCACGTGCCTTGCCGAATTTCATGCAAGCTACGAGGTCCTTGCGCGGTATTCGACGCTTTCTGTCGTTATTCGTGCACCCTATGACCGAGTAATGGTGTCCCGATGACCGGGGGACTGTTGCCATCAAAGCCCGTGGCTCTAATTAAGTTTGCGAGTCTAAAACAGAAAAGAAAGCGCGAAAGAAGTTGGGGCACAGCAGACAGCCAACACCGGCCAAGCATCTCATCCGGGACCTTTACTCTTTCTACACAATCAGAAAGGGGGAAAGCGCCGGTAGCCCTTTCCCCTTTTCTCTTTCGCTCTCAAAATGGCGCTACCCACGATAAAACGGTCTATACTCCGCGACAACTTTTCTTGGCAATGCAGTGGAAGGTACGGGCCCGCGTCCCCTCTCCCATTTTGAGTGTGCGCGGGCTCTCCTCTCCCCGGGACGCGGGCCTGTACCTTCACCTGCATTGCCAAGAAAAGTTGTCGCGGAGTATAATAATGCCAAGGAAGGCTGACTCACGCAGGTTGCCCCCTTTGTTTTTATTCATTCACACCTGACCCCTCTTTTTGTTTTTATTTATTCATACTTCCCACGACCAATGGGGAGTTTTCTGTTGGCATGAGAAGACACATTTTTTCCCAAACCCTAAAACAACTTCGCTGTAAAAAAAAAAAAAAATTGCACAGAGAATTGGAAGCACTCTGTGCATTCTCTGCGTAATTTAAAAAGCCGTTGAATCACAGGGGTCACTGGCTGGACAGCTGAACAAAGTGAACAAAGTGATGGCGGCGGACAAAGTTACTGGCAAATCTGTCTGCCTTTACCGATCAAAACTAATTAGGATTTATTCCATACGACATGTCCGACCAACAAGCTGATTCGCATTAAGTCGCCGAATCGTTGCCCCATCACCTGGATCAAAACATCACTAGTGTCATCAACCATGACGTGCTTGAATTCTGCAATTTTTGTACGACGAGTGCATTTTTTGTCTGCTTTGTACAACCTCTACACATTTGGAGCTTCCCGGCTAAACGCGAAACCTTGCGCTCCCCACCGGAAGGCACACCCATCTTTTATGTTTTAAGGGAACTACAAACATTGTATTTGCACCCAGCGGCATCACAAGGGTCAGCAGCACCCGGGATAATGGCCCGCTGCGACCCCGTCACACCCCTCCCCGCTCTTACTCTCGTGACCCACTGCAAAACACCCCCCACCCACCAGTGATGCCACTTGCACCCTGTTTCATCCTGCTGGGATTATTTAAGGTTTCAAAATTGGGCACTCCGTGCACAAGATATGCACGAGATGGTCGTTTTGTGTGTCTGCTACTTTGCGAGCCAGATCTTCCGATTCTTACTTTGAACAGAACTGAATTCAGAGGATAAGAGCTCATCTGATTGAGAGGCTCTGTAAAGTACCTCCGGTTTAGAGTGAGACCGCTGGAACGTTGGGGGGGAAATAAAAACCAAATGAAAGAAAGGCGAAAATGTTTCATCTTCAATACTTTCTTGCCTCTCAATTGGACTGCTTACAAGCACTGTGCTATCAAGTACCAACAAAATGTGAGCAGCACAGCGCGTGGCCCTCGGTACATGCTGCATAACCTAGGAGCAACTAGGAAGTGATAAAACTACTGAGTGGAGAGAGGGGCTATGAAGGTGTGCACATTGTAGTATGCGCACACCCTTGCAGCCCTGTTTCCACCCCGCAGTTTTATCAGTTCCTAGCTGCCTCCAGGTAGCGTAGAATGTATCATAGGCCACTTGCTTTGCTGTTTGTATTTCTGTACTTAATAGTACATGCTTCCGTTAAGATTTAAAAAAAAAACTATGCATCAACTTTTTTTGTGCTATTGTGGACACAGCTGGCAATAACATCAGCAAGCGCTGTGGCTCAGTGTGCTTTGCGCCTAGCAGAAGACCAAATAAGGGTGTGAACGCAAATTGGAAGAGCAATCTCCAAGAGGAATCTCACTTCCTCTCGGATAGCATGTGGCGCTGGGAGCACGAAGAAGCCACCAGTCGCACCAGGGCGGAGAATAAAAACCGTGAGGATTAAAACCGTGATTTCCATTGGAAGTTTTACCACTATGATTTAAATTGAACCTTTCCCACAAAACTACCGTATTTACTCGCATATTGGTCGATACGTCGTATAGGTCCGGATAGCATGTGGCGCTGGTAGCACGAAAAAGCCACCACTTGCACCAAGGGCGGAGAATAAAAACCGGGAGGATTAAAACCGTGATCTCCATTGGCAGTTTTACCACTATGATTTAAATTAAGCCTTTCCCACAAGACTATTCCCCAGGTAGAACAAGCGAACGTTGCTTAATCTACCTGCTTTTATGTTTGGTACTGTTGCCGCACGTCAGCATTAGGAGAAAAGTTTGCCGTGCGGTGCGCACATCGCATTGTAAAAAGCTTTCATGTTGCAGCAAACAGAAAGTTTCTAATGTTTCACCATTTTCTCATTCAGTATTTGAGCCTTCAATATACTTGCCGTTTTTCTTTAAATGGCTCTGAACACCCTTCATTGCACAGTGCTGCTTGCAATATTTGTAAATTATTAAATGCTTTCATTGTGCAGATTGCAGCTAGCATGCTATCAAATATGTCTTTGAATTTGGACAGCTGCGAGAATAAAGCTCTGCTCTCATTGCAATGAAAGGCATGTGTAACCTCACACATGCAAATAATGAAAATTGTATCCTTTCCAAGATCCAGTGTGCGCAGAACAAATAGCTCATTGCAGTCAAAATTGTTGAAAAGAACTGTCACACTGCAAAGCCTTAAGCCGCCTTGGCGGCTCCAAGGCAAAGCGCCGGCCTACGGATGACAAGGTGGCAAGTTCAAATCCCGGCCGGGGTGCCAGCAATCTGAAGAAGCTTATTGCGGCAAAGGTGCCGTGTAACCGAGCTTCCGGTTGCAAGTCAAAATATCCCAAGGTGGTCCAAATTCATCCTCAGACCTCTGCCGGGGTGTGCCAGATGCCCGTCGTTGGTTTGGCACATAAAACCCCCAAAATTTGACTTTGACTGCAAAGCCTGCAAACCTGATAACATATTAAATTTCTCTTACTTGGTATGTAAAAAGCGACGAATTTCATGTAGAAACTCAAGATGGTAGAAAACTTGCGGATCAAACATATAACACAGAACTCTCTGCTGCCAAGTGTTAGAATTATGAGCTGCTTATCTTTTAAAAATTTTTTTACAAGCCTTGGATCACCATCGTAAGCCCATACTAACCGAAGCCTATTGTCTAGCTTTCATGTTTTACCTACGATACCAATTGGCATTTCTGCTAATGTACCCTTTGTTCTGCTGTTCATTTCAGAATTTCAAGCAAGAAAAATGCAGCTCTGATTTTAATACATTAAAATCCAATTTGTGACTATTTAGATCATCTGCAGGCCATCTAGAGAAAAAGTGTTTTTCCAAGAGCATATTTGCATAATAGAATGTATAGCCCTGACTTTAATACATTAAAATCCAATTTGTGACATTTACCGCATCTGCAGACCATCTAGAAAACAAGTGTTTACCAAGAGCATATTTGCATAATAAAATGTATAGGCACAGCCATGTGCGTGCATATAGGGACATGTATGCCATCCGACTTATTCACCAAGAGGCCCACACACCAATACACCAATATGCCCATTCACCAACATGCTGATCGGCCGATCGGCCCATTCATGTCAATAAACCAATAGGTTATCGGTTTTGTTTCCTGAAGTTTTTGGTAGGGCAGCTATGCAAAGCATATCAAAACGCAAACGAAACAAAAATAAGGAAAAGTAATATCCTATTGCGAGCATATCAAATATGAAAGAGAAACTAACTACAAAAATCTAGCTGCTTTTAATTTAATTTGGCAGGTTTACATCCAGAAATTGTTAACTAAACAACTTTAAATTTACCGTAGTTCCTTCTTTCGCAATGTTACTGGTGATCTCACGCATCGGTCAATATTAACCTTCTGTGTTTAACAATACATCTAGTAATAAAGAATAATTTTGAGCTACATGAGCTAAATCAAATTAACTTAATTTAATTTTTTTTCTTTATTGATTTTTGTTTGCACATTATTGGCAAGGAGATAGAGCTATAGGCCTGTAGCTCTTAAGTATGGGCAGCAGCTCTTGCGAGCAAAGTCAAATGTTTCTTGGACGTATTTCGGTTGCTAGTCATTATGCTTCATGTTGCTTGCAGACACTAAGCTGGAAGTATTTTATTTGTGGAAGAAAATAACAAGAACAAAAAAGCTAGAATGAAAGCATACTTATCGCTTTGATGGGACGCTGAAGATGCATGCTGCACTTTTCTTCTGCTTATTTGAACTTTTTCTAGTTATTTAAACGCTGTTACAGCGCATAGACAAATGCTGCCACATGCTTCTAAACAACCTGACTTGTGAATAATCAAATGCTGCAATGCCACCTTATACTCGTGGCAAACATTACATGATCACAGGTAACGGATGCCCAAGCAACAGGTTTACTTATCCAGCTTGTTTTCCCCAAAGCTTGGAGTTCACCAAACATAAGGCCTGCTGACTTTATTCTTTGTGGCCCCTTACTCTACAAAGCGCGGGGCACGGTGCGGCGTAAAAAGAGTTCACAAGAAACGGAGCAACGTTGGCGTGATGGGACGAGCCAGATCTCTCCCAAAAGCAATCGGAGGAGGATGCGAGCTTGACCCACTTCGGCCTTCGTGCTGAAAAGGCGTTGGACACGTGGAAGCTGAAATGTTCACACAGGACAGAGTGGCCACAAAACAGCCCCTTCTTGGGCAACAAAAAAACTTCAGCTGAACATCGATGCAGCATTTGGCTACATGCATTGTGCCGTCCCCAGAAGTGTAGTTCTAGAGTTAACCGCTTGGTGTGCAGCCATTCGATCTCGTCCCCAAAAGTCAGCTGTGTCAACGATAGTACCACCCACTTCGGAAACAAACCCAACCAACTAAACACATCATTAAAAAAAAGAAGGTTAGGGCATTTTTGGGGAAACAAGCTGCCACAGTTCCAGTCCCAGCGAATGTCGGTCCGCATGTGGCACCACTCAAGAATCGCCCCCTGTGCTCACCGCCGATGGTGGACTCCTGGTACTCGTGGAACTGTCCCTTGACGAAGCGCAACACGAGGCTGGACTTGCCCACGGCCGACTCGCCCAGCAGCACCAGCTTGAACTGACAGATCTTGCCCTGCGGGGCGCCATTGGGCCTCTGCGCCACCGCTGCCCCACGTCCGGCCATCCCTGGCTGCTGCGCCATCCAGAGACACAAAAAGGACAACCGGTCAGGGTCTGCCGCAGCCACCATCCAGAGCATGCGGGAAAGCAGCGGGCCGACAACTCACCCCCCCAACTACCGGGTTCGATCAAGAAAATTAAACCCAGTTTGTTTCGGCCCACACAAATAAACTGTGCATTGTAGAAAGCTGACACTGTCAGAATGTGACATTGTGGTGGGGATAGGGTGCTAATGTCTGGGAATATGACGTTACCTGGATCAAAAGAAAGACAAAATTTCTCCATGAGCAGACAATCACCTAAGCCTGATTTTGACCCCCGTGCATGTTCAGAAACGCACACGGGGGACAAGTGGTTAGTGAGTCTGCCTCAGGGAATGTTTGGAATAGCCATGTGCTGACAACCCACTCCCATCTCACGCACATTGCATGAACTACAGGGATAAAGAAAATTAAACCTGTTTTTTTTAGCCCGCACACATAAATTACATACAGCAGAATGCTGAAACTCAGTGAGAATCTGACGCAAGTGGTGATAATGGAACGCTGATGTTTGAGTGTAAAAGTTAGAAGATGCAAAAGAAAATTTCTCCATGAGCCAACGTCACTTACAAAACTGCTAAAAATACATTTTTTTTCTTTTGCAGTCTGGCTGAGACACGCGTGTCAAAAAACAAATTTTTTACACTGAAAAAATTTTTTGGAGCACTATGGACGGCGAGATTTATTTTAAATCCTGCGCGCAAAGTCCACGACGTCACGGGCCATTCCAGAATGACCATCTCGATCAAGAAGGCGAAGCTGATCCACCTCTCCTCCACGCGCCCAAATGTCCAGCGAGGAAACAAGTGCAAAGGACGTGACTGCCAACTTAATCGCATCTCACGCTGTAAGTAATCCTCTAAATTTTTTTTTTCTTTTAGGTTTTTTTTTTTTTTAAGCCTAATATTTACCAAATCAAAATTTGAGGTTGTGGGCGCCCTAGTAATTGTCAGTAAAACTCTCGCCAGCAAGGAACAAAACAACACCATCTTTGAAACTGACGAGTTCCCTTCAATGAAATAACTGCCACTGACACCCACAATCTCAAAGTTTGGTTTGATAAGTATTAGGCTTGGATGGATGTCAAGTAGTAGTGAAACTCTTATCTAGGTAACATTGTGTGCTCAAACTTGACCCTTTTGTCACCGCCACTAGAGTCACATTCTCGCCAAGTTTCGGCTTTCTGCGATGCAGTTTATTTACGTGGGCCGAAAAACCGGGATTGATTTTCTCGATCTAGCCTCATATAGCTTCAGTGGTCCCGCCTCCAGCCAAGCTTCCTACCTTCGACAACGCTTCTAGAAGTAATCAAATGACTTATAACGATTACTATTTGTACTAATTTTGTAATCATTTGAATACTGTAAAAAACGGTATTCGAACACCCAAAATGAGGAGATAAATGGTGAAAAACACGAGGTTGGCTCTCCTTAAGGATGAGACTGCAAACCTTTATAAAAACCTTTCACCTCAAGAAGTGAATTTAAAAAGTCTGTCTCCACGCGGAGCATTACTAATTTCCCCCTTTATGTAAATAATTAAGACATATGTAGGTGCATTTTAGATTAGATATATGTTACCTTATCTAAGATGTACACGCTTCAAACGCCAAAAGCATAGCTTCTTCCTCCGACAACCAAATCCTGTAAGAACTACATCACGGATCATATGAACAATGTGCACGCTTCTTTTTTTCTTGAGTTGAAAACTCGTATAGTGGCTCCAGCCAGAAAAAAGTGCAAGGTTAACCCAATGTGGAGCACTAGTTTGTCTCGCCTCTTGCGCAGGGGTTGCAGTAATGTCGGATTGCCAAGCTCCGATTGGCTCGATTGGAAGGATAGTGGGTAGACCTCAAGGCAGCTAGCTTCAACTACTCACTATCCATCCAAATGGAGCCAATCTGAGCTCGGCATTCTGATGCCGCCACAAATGCTGCCCAAGTAGCGACGAACATGCACTCCGGATAACACAGTTGACGCAACAGCACGGTGGCCCATTTTTCAAACAGCGTAAATCAATTTCATAAAGTATGGTGCTATAATTTACTGCAGAGTTGCCTAGAGGTGGTCATTTAATGTCTGAAAGTATGTAAATATGGGCTCACTCCATTAAAAAAAAAAAGTTTTTTATTTTTATTTGAAAAACTGTCACATTGTGGGCCGTTCTGGAGTTAATTATGACAAAATACCGGTGGAAGAAAAAATAAATACAGTTGGCTTAAATTTTATTCTGGTTTTGCCAAAATAAATGCCACGGTGCCCATTATTTTGTTTCGTGGTTTCAGGCGAACGAGGACATAAGGGAAATATCATTTTTCTTTATCATTCTTTTACTTGGGTGAACTCCGATTTTTACTAAAGTACTGCACGACCTTACTACAGCAGTGCTAAATTATACTGCAATCTTTTAAGTCATACATTTATGCAGTCTCTTCAAAAAGCCATACGTAAAGTGCCCCTTGTAAGAAAAGCTACTCTTTATAAAATAAAAGTAACTATCCCAGATCCAGCACAATAACCAGATGTCAGCATCCACACTAATGTCACTACACATTCTGCTAGAGCAAAGTCATGCAGATAAATGCATATTTATGTGCCCTCAAAAGTGCAAATCTCCCTCTTCGCTCTAAATTGAGCTACTCCAAGCTTTTCGAAACGACGAGCTCCTTTTCTCGGGACGCCACCTGGCTGCGTCCAAACGCAATGTCTGGACAAGTAAAAATAAACTAACATTGGTTAAGTGTCCCTGTAGACTGAAAAACACTTTCCTTCAACTAGCAACAGTATAATAAAGCTGCGGCCTTATTGTATTGGTGCTAGTTGAAGGAAAGTATGTCGTCCACCGTCCCACCTGTGTCTTGTTCTTTCGGCGTTTCTCGAGAGTGTTTCAACGGATGATGCGTGCCCAGTGCCACAGGCATTTAATCTCGCTCAACCAGCAAAGTTTTTTTCTCAAAAGAACCAAGGGGAAGAAAAACCAGTTTTGCAATGCATTTTGAACTTGAGACAACAACCATTAAGATTGCATCTTAGGGTTCTCCAAGCCCTAAATATGGAAACTGCTTCTCCAAAGTGTGTCCGGCCAATGATCCCGGGCATGTTGCAAGTTGTTCGCAAAGCCCAGACGGGCAAAAGTTGAAAGCTGGAGGTCGTGCTCCATTTCCCATTCACGAAAACAACAGATTCGTCTCTACAGATTAGGGCTGCGCTCATTATGACCACGAGGGAAACGAGTTTTGCGCGTTTCACACAATCACGATTGAGATAACCGGGGTAGTCCGGCTATTTGGAAACGCAGAGTCGGCAGATAAAACTTTCCAATCAATTTTAGAAGCGAATTGCAAACCCGTAGAGGTGATAGCCAAGTTGTAAACCTCAATTTCACAGCAACCAACTGACTGAGATATTGAACAGAGAAATTAATTTAAAGAAAACAGCACGAGATCAGAACGAAAGCGGACAAATGAGAAGCTCTAATCAAGGGCCAGTTTGCATCGATACAAAAAGAATTGAATACACATGGCAAATCTCCTTTCTCATAAAAGCAAGACCATAGTAGTAATATAAAAAGGTTAAATTCTGTATCATTATTTTGCCTTCAACCACAAACAATTAAAAAAATCAAATAACCTTGTTCCAAAAAAAAAAAAAAGAGGAAGCGTGTGAAGCTGCAATCTTAACCTAAAACTTGCAAACTTCAACAATGCCGTCCATTTCAAAACTCTTGGTACTTGGGATCACACACTCTAAACAAACATTCCCCTCGAGTGTACGAGCCCCGGCTCTTCCACACACGAAGTTCAATAGACTTGTTTTAGCGAGACGTCTTCCGCAACGATACAAAGAAGATTCTGCGTCCATGCTGGAATGACGAGAAACCCACGTGAGCTATCACACGTGAGAAGTGTATAGCTGCTTCAAACAATGAAGCAACGAGTGACTAACCCGACAACAGCACGGGCCGCTTCGGTCGCAACAATCATCTAAGTCTGAGTGCGATTCGGGCACCTGACTGCTCTAGGACGCCGCGCTTGGGACTGAAACAGTGGGGGGGTTCGAAGGACAGAGCTGGTGCCACTGCACACCGATGCAGTCTCCAACAAAAGCCACTCTAAACAGTCACCCACGCTTTTCCTAGTTTGTAACCACTCAACAAACAACAATTGGTGGAAGTTGAGCAAGACCCCAGAAAAGCTGCGGTTGAATGCAACATGCTTAAAACCTTCGCTGCACTTTGCAACGATGCGAAGTTCAAACTAGTCTTCCTCCTTGGCAGACGTTTCGGTCATTTCAGCCATCAGCATCTTTCGTACACTGCATTCTGTCAAATACAGTGATGTCTTAATAACATGGACCCTATTAATATGAATACCCCCTATATAGACCAACATTTTGGGGACTAACTAGGTAATAAACAGTCTTGGGTAGTAACGCGTTACTGTAACTTCATTACTTTTTTGGTAACTTGTAACTGTAACGAGTTACTTTTTTAAAAATGTAACTTGTAACTGTAGTTCTATTACTTCTGAGGTAACGATAAAAGTAACGTTACTTTTGTCGTTACTTTCCCGTTTTTTTATGAATAATATATCACTGAATGAGTACAATTTAGCCATCCTTTGCGCTTTCCAAATTGTCTGTTCCGACATTTCGAGTGTCAAGTCATTTTTTGCACAAACTTGTGAATACGTTCTTTCTCACCAGTCACGACCCGAATATAGCCACGTTTAGATTTGGTGAAAAAAAAAATGTAGTTATCTTTAGCACGCGCTTGTACTTTGTGACTGACCACTTCCATCTTAGTATCTTAAAGAACTACTGTAAACGACTTAATTTTCGCGGGCTCGAATTTTCGCGAATCGAGTGTAGCTTCCGTAGCGTTCACATATTGCCCGAATTGTTCGCGGAACCTATTTTTCGCGAATTGTAGGCGATTCACGCGCGAAAATTAGGTCCCCGCGAAAATTTTG